TATTTTTCCTGTAAATTATACTCAAACGTTAGTCATAATTTCTGTGTAAATCGACCGTTTGCCAACCGTGCCTCAACCCTTTTGCCCCACAAAAAGTTAAATAAATACATATTTTTATTATTTTTTAAATATTGCGAATACGTCTCTGGAGTCTGGACGTACGAGTTGTGGACTTACGATGCATTGTATCAATTTACATCAAATACCTACATTGTTGAAGGACTACGACGATAAACACAATAATATAATACCACTCTTCAAGCATACAAAATATGATATTTTACCACGTCAATGGTTGTGTACTATTTCAGTAGATATTTCCTATAAATTCTGATGATTTTCCGGTGAAGAAATCTTGTCTAAAAGTGCATAACTACGTCTTTTTAGCGGTAAATACGGAGTAATAACTAACAATTTGGAAGTATAATAAGTTAGTTATTACTAATAACCTTCATAGACATCATATAGCAGGTGCCTGCTGAGATGTAAATACCAAGGAAATAAAATAAAACAATAAAATTGAATTACATAATGCCATGTACAATACTTGTCTTGTAACTATTTTATTTAGAAAACGAATTTTGTAAAATAGAGTAGATAAAATTCTCATTTAATTTTAACATTCAGTTTATTATGATTTGACCATTTTAGATCGAAATCTATCGTTATTCCTAAATATTTTAATGATAATACCATATTAAATGCTTTACTACACCGTCGGAAATATTAAACGTCCGTAGATACTTACAAAATTAAAAAAGCAAAATACTCCCAAGACTAATGTTGAAAGAATGTAAGTGTTGTTTCATACAATACTTATATAATAATCATTAAATTACATCCAGACGCAAATCTACGTCACAAACAGCTATTATACCTCCGAGGAAGCGCCAGTTCCTATAATTTTATTCTGAAAATTCGCATACAATAATATTACATGTTTTATGCCTCTAATCTCTACGGTACTCACAAAATAGTACCTGATATACATGTGTCAATTAAATATGAATTCACTTCAATCGACAACGACCTTGAGCAATAAATTGCAGTAGAATATTATTTAAAAAAAATGAATCTGATGAATTAAGCTTTTAAGTCATTATGCAGTACAATGATGGTACAGTTATAATATAATATCTAGTCAGACGATATCTACAATATACAATATGCATTAGTATAGGTAGTAAGTTCAGAGTTATTTACCAATCATCACTATAGGTATATTACTCCTTAAAATATAATCTATTTTATCATAACATTATTATCCATCATAATTACCTAGACATTAATTACCTACCTTTTTTTTCTTTTTTGAACCGAGAACCGGGGACCGAACTGCTTCGTTTCGACCCAAGACAGACAGACATAAATTAACTATCTACTTGGATAAAAATGATAAATGACATATGTCATATAATTTAATATCAACTAAATTGTAACCGAAATATTGTCTTGCTGACATGAATCTGTTTCGTTGTGAGGAGGTACAGGGGAGTAGGGGACTCACGGATTTCAGCAAACTTATTTGAATGTTGAATGCGAATGTATAAAAGGTCATTAACTCGGGTTTTGCTTAGTACTGTTAAACATATAAGATGTTATTTTGAAACAGGTTTTTCGTTATTAGATATTATATAACGAGTATTGGCGCAGTATCAAAAAATGCTTTTAAAAATTGAAAACACAACTACCAATTTACAACTTGCTACAGTGTAAAATGAAAGACGTCATACGCGCTTGTTGTCAAAATTATAACTGGTAAGATTATAAATAATTAACTATTGTATCATCTCTATAAATATAGCTACCATACCGTAATTATTAAAAAATACCTCAACATTATGATGTATGGCCATATGCCCATATATATATTATATATCTACAATTACGGATAGTGTGTGGGTTGTGAAATGTGCTCATATGTGTACAACTAGTCTTACGATTTTGCATTTTTGTAACAGGTGTGTTGTGGTATTCTCAAAAATGTATTGCGTATTATGCTTGTGTATCATACACGTGTTTTAATATTGAAAATCGATGACAGCTATGAAACTTGGAGTAAGTTTAAAAAAATAGAAAATAGAAAGTACCGACCATTGAAAAAATATATTAAATTATGTAAAAAAAGAACAGCAAAGTTATGCTAGAAAAAAAAAATTATTCATATGAAAATAAATCGAAAATATCACTTACAATAATTGACTCAACCCTCAAGTACAAATAATTTCATCATAATAAAAAGTATTAATAAAAATACTAACTATTTTTGTAAGACTATATTGAGTCAACCTCTAGTTGTGTCTTTTGGGTAATGCTAATAGGCTTATAATTTTATTATATGTGCCCAAACAATGTGTTTTACAATGGTGTTTATTTTATTTTTTTTTTATCCTGCATACAAAATTTCTACCAGAAGGAGTGCTTTGATTTCAACATAGAGTACCTTATCTTTTAGCAAATTGGATCAAAATGGTACTTTAACGAGGTAATTTTTCGATTTTCTCAATAGTTATTTAATGCCACTGTAAAAACTACCGACAAATTACGAAAAACAGCTAAAAATGGGTTTTTAATTTCTAACGCTTTGTGTATCACCATTGCAACGAATAAAAAATAATATTATTACAATATTAATTCAACTAACAGGCTATAATAAATAATAAATTATAAAAAGCTATAAAAAATCCAGACTGACAAACTGTATCCTCTCTGAACCGTTTTTCTTATGAAATGATATTATATCATTGAATTCAAGTTTAATACAATCCATTATACATTGACCCACTTGTAACCTACTGTACAGCAGAGGGACATCCACTTATCCTTGTTTTTTTTTTTAATATTGGCTAATATGAATCCATATTAAATATTCATAGTTTTATAATAATGGCCAGTAGGTATATGAATTTACTTTAAAATTTGAATAGAACAGTTATAAAAACAATCGTAACTATACCGGACAATAATAAATAAGTATTTTAATATCAACAATCGTTAATATATTATGCACTGGTAAAGTGGTAACTGATGAACAGACGGACAAAACGAGAATATAAAGTGTTTAGAAATCTAATACATAAATGTAAACAACAGAATCCACGTTAATTTTTTGAAATGACGGCAACAAATATAATTGTACAGCTTTCTTTATTAGAAAAATAAGGACATATTGAGGTTAGGTTAGGTTAGGTCTAGTTTATTCTACATTCCTTGAAAATTTAGTCAATTTATGGATAGTTTTAATTGAAATACATTTCATTTATTAAATTTAAATAATTTTTTCAGACTAAACATTTTTTTATTTATTGTAAATTTATTGATTTATTTATTTCAGCCAAATCAATTATAATAATAATTACTATAATATCTGATACGTAAACCGAGCTTTAAGCTCGTATAAGGATTTAGGAATTTGTCTGTCTATCTGTCTTACTATACCTAATAGTAAATAAGTATAAAATGAGAATTTTTCCTTAGTAAAACAGAATGCAACTCGTCTTCGATCAGAATCGTTTATCGAATGCGATGATTTATGATTAAAAATTAAAATCAAATATAGCACTTGTATTATATCTAGTGGCGATGGGCGGCGATGGCGATGTACACACAAATCCTACTATACAACAGAGTGACTTCTCAGATTTTGTTCAGTTGACTAAATGTACTATCAAACTTAGTGATGTAAATTTTCATGAAATTTTTTATTTGTCAAAAAGTTGAAAATTTTGAAAATTTCATAATTGATGGCTGCCAAGTAAGTTTATAACATCAATTTATTTATAACCACAAGTCATTAGTGATAACAAACAATATAAATAACAAATACATAGATATCACGGACTAAGATATAATGGACTGGAAACGAGCAGCTTATCATGGCCACGAATGTATGTACAAGAGGCAAAGTGCGGGGGGTCGCTATCTGTTCTTGAAGTTCACAGCGCCCTCTGTATTTAACACGGACTAAGATACAAATTGTGTAGCCAAATAAAACCACCGGTAGCGCTGAAAACTTCAAGAACAGTATTCTTATCAGCTAAGTGACATCTTTTCGTGGCCGTCCCCCGATCCCCGCCGACCATGTCGTTTCCAGTCCATTATATCTTAGTCCGTGATAGATATATAAATCCATGATCATAATCTTTGATTATAAGATAGTTTTATCACAGAACAACGTTATTCTGTAGTTTTATTACTCATGTCTATTATCTAGTAGTCAGTGTAACCAACTGTTATACAATTACTACAAAATAGATTATTTTTAAAAATAAACATAGAAATCAAAATTTGAAAATTTCAGAGAAAAAAAAATTTCAAATGAAAATGTTCGAGCTTACATCCCTATAATCAAAATACATTTACATATTACATTTACGAATATAATAATATATCACAGGAAAATAAGTTTACTCAATCTATATTTGGTCTCTCTAAAATAACATAAATATTGCGTTTTCTCCATTTAACTGTTTGCATGTTTTGCAAGGTATGGCTATTATTTGAGATACAATAACTGCCACTACGTCACTGTATGTATTTAAACATTTTATCACAGATCATATCGCATGAATTATATTTAAATGCAAATGAAACTAATTAAAAAAAAATGGAAAACCTTACTACACAACGAATATAAATAAAATTAATGATTTTATTACATTTAATTAGCTCTTATGAGAATAAAAATAAAAACAATGCTCCAATCGAAATTACCTTTATCTTGATACATATTTCCATTTACTGCACGATGATTCTACAATCATTTTGTTATGCCAGTGAAGCGGATTGGTTGATTATTATCACGTTTACCTCTGAACATAATGCGGATTACTCCCACCAAATAACAAGATAGTTTTTAACGGAAATAACTATAATAATAATATGTACATACGACTACTGCAGTGGCCCCAGAGTACTGGTTTTCATTCTAGTTCAAGTTCAAATTCACCAGACTAAACATCTTGGAATTTTGCGCATGTGTTACAACAAAACTAAACAATATGGAAACTAGCATATCTGAATCGTTTAGGGACGGGACCGTATTTGTCACTGGAAGTACAGGGTTTTTGGGGAAAATACTCACCGAAAAATTACTCAGATCTTGTTCATTAAAAAAAATTGCACTTCTTGTAAGAAGTAAGAAAGGAATCGATCCAAGTCAAAGGGTTGCAAATATCTACAATGAATCTGTAAGTTAATTTTTTTTCGACTGTTATAATATTATACATTAAGTAAGATTTTTATAATTGATTTTATTTTATTCTGTGTTAACATAACGAAAATTGTTTGTAAATTAGTCTTAACTTTATTCGCATACCCTATCGAAAAACTACATTAAAAAGTAGTCTTGGATAAAAAAAAAATTCCACATCAATTCGTATTATAGCTTATATACTAAAACACTAAAGCCGGGTTGCATATACATGTACTTAACATTTTTGTACCTATTTATAGTTAGTATATTTATTTAATTTTTATGCAACTCGTCATTAGTATTAAACTAAATTTAATAACCATGCATTGGTATAAATAATAAAATTATTAAAAATCAAGGCATCAACAACGAGACTTATAATGGTATGAATAAATAACTACCTAGTACTATATTTTTTAATTCTACTTACAGTTTTTTTTATATCGTGTAAATGATTGAAATGAACATTTGACTGCAATTTGTTATGAGCGTATACCTATTGTTTGAATTTTGAAGCTTAAAATTGCACGTGTAAAATATCGATTTTAGGTTTTATAATTATATTCAAAATTAATTTTACACTACACAGTTACTTTAACTATAATTTCTATACGCAATGCAATTTTCAAAATATTGTCCTGGAATTGTATACAGTGCCCATCAGGGGCGGCTCCAGAGACATTTTTAGAGCACCCCCTAAAAGCCCCCCCCGGACATATCACGGAATAAAATTTTAACTAAAAAGTTTTAGGTAGAAATAGTATAGTTGTATCAACCATATTTTAGTTGAATATACTAAATTTTTACCAAATAACTTAGCGAAATCAACCAACTATAATTAGTTGAAATATTTTGGTTGATTTAACCGTAAAATATAGTCAAAATGATATGACTAAATAAAAGTAGTTAATACAGCCATAATAATATAGTACGTATGGGTTTTCCCGCTGCGCTGTGTCATCGTGTTGTGAATTGGTTTCCTTTGTCCTACCATCATTCGAAAATCGAAACCGGAACGTGTCTATAGTATTAGTGCTTTACTACATAGGTACTGCATATTCTTATGTAATGCGTGTATGTTTAATTAACTTGTTATAAAACATTGTTATAAGTTAACTGTGATTCTGTGAATTTGTTGATCGTGTATTCCTTTTTCGCCGTGTCACGTGTTGGACGCGTACCTACAGCAAGCGGAATTATATGTAAGTACCTACCTTCATTTATTTCATATTTAATATTTATGGTATAAGTCTAGTTTACCGGGTACCTTTTTTTTTTAAAATTTTTTTTTTTTTGAAAAGGGTTGTTTCGACGAGTTAAGAACGATGGTGCAAAAAAAAATTTCGGAAATGATTATTTTGGAAGTTATAGCTTCCCGAAGTCAACGATTTTACGTTTATACGAGTGCGGGCGACACGCTACTATAATGCCGCGCGGAGGACCGCGAAGTTTGGCAAACTTAATATGTTGTATAGAGTTTGGTGAACTTAATGTGTCGTATAGAGTTTTGTCGTCAGTTAATACAATAAATATTAAGTTAGGACGTCGTACATTACTTTCAGCAAATAAGCGGCTCAAGTACATAAATGTTAAATTTATATATGTTCACCTTTTAATATTTTAGATGATAAGGTACAATTTTTTTCGTGGATTGATTTTAAAGGTACCATTTACAATTGTAATAATATGTCAGTTTTGATTCATTTTAGTGATGACCCAAATATTTTACCTCTATTTGGATTAATTGTATCTGTATTTATGATAACTAATAACAATATTCCTTTTTTAGTTTGTAGTATTTATAATAATTATTATTTTGATGAACATTTACAAGTGTATAATGTACAATTTACTAATAAATTAATATGGTGCTCAGTTGAAAATTTGGATTGTGTACAACCCACAATTCATTGTGTTATGTCCAATGGGTTATGTTTTATACCAAAATAAATAGTTTTTATATAAATGTTATATTATATTCTTTTATACATTTATTATACCTAAAATGTATATTATTATTTATTCAATAAAATACATTTTTTGACTTCATTAGTTGTGTTATTCTTATATTATATGCTTACCTAAATTTACCATTCCTATCAGTAGTGTGTACTCAGGATTTTTCAATAGGGGGAAGTGGGGAACCAAATATATTACAATATTATTATGTTTGTCGTCTAATCTTAGTTTTTAATATTGAATAGTTTATATTATATTTCTATTTTTCATAGTAAATAGGGAGGATTAAATCCCTTAGTCCCCCCACCCTGGGTACAACACTTGGTCCTATATATATGTAATTAGTAGTCTTAATTAAAAATATTTAGTTGAAAATACTACAATATACATTGTGTAAAATAGTTAATTCAACTGAAATGTTAAGTAGGAAATACTATAATAATATACATTTTGTAAAATAATTGTTTCAACTAAAATGTTAAGTTGGAAATACTATAATATACATTTGGTAAAATAGTTATTTCAACTGAAATATTTAGGTACAATGATTATTACATATAGGTACTATAAATTCAATCAGTTGGTGTGGTTGGTTGGTTCAACTATAAAATATAGTTACAATTTTTAGTTAGAATTAAATTTAGTTGAATTGACTATTAATATTTTAACCAAAATCAAATAATATTTGCAACTAACAATATAGCTATGCCATATGGAACTATAATTTACAGCTGAAGTACATATAATTGCAGTTGAACTAACTAGTTTTTTTTTCTGTGTGCAAACTAAATAATTTTCAGTAATTGTTTTTTTTTTTTTAACAGGCTGTATAAAATTATAGTATAAAATTGTTTAGAAATACAGCTTGGGGGGCGGCCCCTAGGCCTGGAGCCAATTTAGATTTGGGCACTGTAGGTTAAATATTGAATATATTAAAAATTAAATAAAACATTTTACTGCATTTTTTAATAATCATAAAAAAAACTTAAAATAGACGCTTCAAATATTAGTTGCCTTTTAATAGTTTTTAAGTCTATTATCCAGTATGGTACCTCCTACGGAAGAATTCATATTTTTATCTAAAAGTGGTTTGACATGAACAAGATGGATATTGTTATTATTAAATTATAGTTATTTTAATAGTTTTAATTAAATTAATTATTACTAAACAGCACGGTTGTCTACTTGACGGTTGTCATCTACTTGTCTACTTGACAACCGTGCTAAAAAGTAATCTTTGGCACGTAAAATAGCATTATATTACTTTATTTATTAACACATACACAACTATTATGGTACTAAGAAATTGTATTGATTTACAAATTCGACCAAATTTTTTGCATTTACACCGATTGGTATTTCATAATAATACAGTATAGTAATGACGGACTACGAGACGTCGTGACAATATAATCATTCGATTTCGAATTGGTAGAGGTTTTATGATTAAATAACGAAATATTATCTAGATTATAGTGTTTGCAATAAATTATAATATGTTCCGGAAAATGCGCAATAAACCATGTGATCGCACTTTGTCGTTGAAATTACGGATCGGTTCGTATTATCAGCGGCCGTCATAATTGCGTATATTGGCTGCAATTAGATAGGTATCTGGTAACTCGTAAGTCGTGGTATCAAACGGATAAAATATGTGAGAATAGTGTTTTATAGTGTGGTTATTGTTACGTATAAATACCATTCGACATATTATAAAAGTGTGCAATAATTTATTCACTTTGCGCACTTGAATCCGGCCGGGGTACACTTTGTCCGGACAATCTCGTACAATGCCCGGGCAATGTAAGAAAAAATTGAGTATTAAAATTCTTACATAGCCCAACATTTTCGGGAATTGCAAAACATTGCCCGATTTCCTACTTTGCCCGTAACATATATACTAATTTACTTTACTATACGAAATTACATTTTTACTACACTTGAATTGATTTTTAGTTATATTGTCTATTTATACCATTTTACCTGCAGTAGTAGATATAAATATAAATATAATAATATAATATAATCATTATAGTAGTAATAGCACACAAATATTTAATACTATTTACCATATTTTTAGTAATTAAGGCTGCGATCGACCGTCGCCGCACAGTATCGTTTTTTGTATGTAATGATTTATCATTGATTTGAAATTTAACGCGTCCATTACAGTGATTTAATTTTTAAATTATAACAATAATGGTATTCAGCAAATATAATATCCTACATTATATGCACTTTACGTGGATAGATGCGATCCAATTGAAGGTCGGTCCGCGTTTCATATGAGAGATTTACAGCGATTACCCTACCGTTATCATTTTATATTACACGCACAATCGATCAACAATATTATCAACGTACATTAGTGACAGTTGGCTAAAATAATGGGATCGTTAAGATTTTTCAATTTATTTATCTGAAGAAGTGTAATCATCAGCAGAACTTACAAAAATGTATACAATATTTTTAATAGTTTTAATTAAAATTGTTATTTGTGTTTGTTACCACACCCAATGGCTTCTGTTGCCGCGGGATATCCAATTAAAAAAAAATAAAAGTGTTTGTTAAATTTTGTTTAAAACGGTTTTCAAAACCCACATCACGCGATTAGATCGATCGGTACTTTGGAATGGAAATACAGTTTTTTTTAGTACCTACAAAAAACAATATGTTTCAAATAAACTTTAATGTACATTAACTATGTACTTATTGTACCGTTGTACCAGTTTTACCAGTTGTAACTATCTATGATATATTACATAGTAGTTTATCTTATAAAAGAAACCGTATCTTGGACACTTAATATTTTCTATTCACAGAGACTAGTTATTAAATAACTTAAACAGTTAATCATGTTTGGAAATTTTTTTATTCATAGTAGATATAAATAAATAAGTATACCTAATAATAATTATATAGGAAAATATTTAACTTATAAATATTGAATATAAAAGTAAATATAATATTATATACCTACCTATTTCATATTTCAGATCTTCGTATGACATGTTCTATGTTATATCAATTGTATTG